TTTATATTCTTTATTATAGATGGAAATATTTATATTTTGCCCCTCCATAAAATAATCTCTCACTACTATTTTTATTTAATTAAAATTATATATTGGATTTTTTATATATTAAAGATAAATAACATAAAATTTTTCTAAATAACAAAATTTATGTATTAGCTATTTTTAATGTTAATGCCAAGTTACGTTAAATTCATAGAGACTTTGCCCCAAATATAAGACAAATATATAAATTATACAAAAATACTTTTCAAAATAATGAGAAATATGTAAAAACTTAAATACAGAATATATATATATTTTTTAATTTAAATGTAACAAAATAAAGTATTTATTGCTTTGCATAGTTTAAATATTACAAAACATTTAATCGACATTTAAATAAAATTTGTAGCATAGTTATTTGTTAATCATGACATGGAATGCATTAGCTTAGCAATCGAAGCAAGACGCAATTCACTTGATACCAAATAAAAGGAAAATTGTAATGCCAAGCGGAATTCGTGAAATTCGTACCTGCTGCGTCATTTTTGGCCACAAACTCAGCTGCACTTGTGGAATTTTTAATATAAGAGACGCGCAGAGTGAGGCAAGGGCTAAAGCCAAGTGGAGCAAGTCTGAAGCCCTCAGGGCAATTGGACACTATATTCGGTTCTTTGGGCTCTAATGCGGCGTGGGTCGAGGAGCCATAAGATAAATTTACTGAAAAATATTTTCGTTACTTGAGCTGACAATAAAAATGAAGCCCGAAAGCCAGTCAAGAAGCAGAAGCTGAGCAGAGCATCAGCTGCTGCTGCCTCTGAAGCTCCACAAATACTGTCTATGTCACTCTCTCTCTCTCTCTCTCTTTCTTTCTCTCTCTCGCCTTCTGTACATAGTTTTGTGGGCAGCCACACAAGTCAATATGCCATTGCAGCCATAACAACGCATTTCCGCTTCCGCTCGCTCGGGTCGCACTTCTGTGGCAATAAAAGGCATTTGCTTTGGCTTTTGCTTCTGCCACATTCTGTCGGCTTCTCTCGCCCCATCTCCCCCTAGAATCAGCTTGTGGCTTAATAATGCTCAGCTATAGCCCAAAAAGCATGCTGTATGAAACATAACTAACATGGTCCGAGCCCCAGTGGCAAAAGTAAATTACATTACTTATTTTTTTATTATAATGCTGAATTATAAATGCAGCCAGCTCGGATATTGTAGCAGCAATTGCTGTTAGATGGACTGAAAAATTCACATCAAATTGTATTTAAATATGTTTACCTTCAGGCAGGAGTGGGTTGGATATTGCATACAAAATTACATTTTATATGCAGTAGAGAACGTATTTTGTTACCATTTATTTGGGGATATTGAATATATTTTTGATATGAAAATTATGTAATATTTTTTACAATTTTTTTTGTTGAGAATTATTTTTATATAACATAAAACTTAAATATGAATAAGGGTCTACAAAATATTTGAAAGTATTCTTCTTTAATATTTCAAGTTATCTCAGCATTTAAAATAGCTATACTTTTAGATTCTTCAATTAGTTATAAAAGAGAACATAATAATAATTTTTAGGAAGGTTTTGGGCCTGCCCCGTATCTGATAAGATTATTATAAAATATATAAATTATTTGGTTTATAGCTATTTCTGGAACATAATCGGAATATATTTTACTCTTCCTGTCCCCGAATTTTACTTTTCCAACTTTCTAGTTTCCTATTTTTACAATGCATTCATTTTCATATATCTCTCTCTCTCTTTTTAAGTAATTTCTGAAATATTTTTGAGGCAACATAAATCTAAAAGAATTTAAATTCTAAGGATTAAAAATTATATAATTGGCATAAAATTTTCAAGAGCCTTGCACAAAAGGTTTTTATTAATTTAATTTTAAAATTAGTACCAAGAATAACTTTTTAAAAATATTGCCCAAATTTCACTCTGAGCTTAAACACATGGAAAGCCATTAAATAGTACTCTAGTTCTAATTAGTCTTTTCTTCTCATATTACATTAAATTTCTTTGCTTGCGCAATTAGTAAAGCAGAGGTATATATATTATAAATTTTAATTGTAATTTTATTTCTGCTAATGCACTCAGCATCGCCTAAATCATGATAAAATATCTCTGCAATTCTCGCCAGCTTCTGTGCTTTAGTAAATTCACAATTTTAATTGCTTGATAAATAACTGAGCCGAAAATTAATTATAAATTTTTGTTTTGGGCAATTGTAAGCAAATATTTGGGGAAGATGGGAGCGATGGCAATTTGATTTGAATTCAGAGCCCGAGGAAATGCGCAAAAATTGTGAACCACAATCAATAATGAATGAATCAATTAGTGGAAGTAAATGCGAATGAGGTGTTTAGATGCTCATTAAAGGAAGAGGAGGTGGAGGCGGGGCAGCTAAAGAGGAAGCAGTCAACGAGCTTCATTAAAATCGGCAGTCGAGAGAATCGCAAGGGGAAATCCAATTAGAGCGTGTGAATGGCAGCAACTAGCACAGTTGACAATATTTGTCATCTACGCTACATTTGAGTTTCGCCCACAGCGCCCACCTCAAGCCCAAATCAAGGTGTGAAATGAACGCTAGCTATCCGGCCAGGAAATTACCGGAAAGGTGTGTGCTTTGCGGTTTTTCAACTCGTTTAGCAGTTCAAATCACTGTGAGTCAATCTCATGAGTTTCGCATTCCCTGTTTTTCTTTTTTTGGCTGCCCTTTCAGAATTTTCACAGAGTTCATTGTACCTTGATTAGCCGGAGACAGGTAAGTGCCAAATAGTAGACCACACGTGGCAAATTCTGTGGAATTTTCTTGGAATTTCCTTTGAATTTTGTCAATTTTCCTATGAATTTCAAAGCCTTGGCTGCTTTGTTTGCTATGCGATAATGGGGTTTGCAATAAGCTTTTGATAAAGGCTATCATACAGATATGCATATGTATATATATATAGCCAGACATGTATATTATACATATGCATATGCTTGAGCATCTAAGGTTGCTTTGGCTGTAGCAGATTCCTATTGAAGTCAACGAAATTGCAAATAGATTTTAGATAGATTCATTCATTTTGTAAATCATCATTATTATCATTTTTTACTGTAAAATAAAAAATTCTAAGATAAACGGATATTTCTTCTCAATTTGTTAAATATTTCGGATCACCCATTACAACAAAACGAATTTTTCATATATATTAAAAATGGTGAAAACATGTTTTTAATACATATATTTTAGATTGTAATTTACATATAATTTTTTTAAATAAACATTTTTTAAATAACAAATAAGACAAAATTATTTTAAAGTTGTGTGAGATATTTTAGTAAACATATGAACAAACTTAAATAAGTAGAAATACCATTATTTCAAGGAGAAGTACATATAAACAATGCTAATATGATGTCATTTTGAATATGCTTTAGATACAGAGCTAATGCCGAAGGCCTTATAACCCTATGCATATGTAAGCCTATGACTCTATAGTCCTATGCACAGTAGAATGTCACTTCTATCATATTTAATATATAAATCTACAGAAATTAATAGAAAAAACTTCAGTATTTATTTCAGCAAACTGAAGTCAAATTGTTGCCCCGCATATGCCCCAAGCATTACATACCTCCTCCTTTCCATACTCCTCAAACAGACATTTACTGGCTTATGGTTAATAGATCGAAACGAAACACTTGTACTTATACAATACATTATTCATTTAATAAGGTATCAAAAACTACTGCGTAACGAGTGCCAATGGCTGGTCATTCAATTTCTAACTACTTCATTATGTAAGAGGGAAGAAGTCCTAAAGCACCTTGACAAGCTCTTGATTAACGAAGTGATAATTGCTGTAGTAGATAGCCAGAGGCTGACACGGCATGAACATAGCCAAGCAACTGAGTCCCAGAAGACTAAGAAAATGAAAGTCATTGCAGGTGCTTAAGCAGCCGGCATGGTGAAATAAAATATTCTATAGTATATACAAATATAATCAATTAAATAATGAAATATTGTATTCCAAATATAAAAACTAAATTAAATGTTTATTAATAACTGTTATTGACTGTCCGAATGAAAGTGAAGCAAATGAAAGCTAAGACAGAGTCAACATTTATATATACATATATATAGATAAACTTCGAATCGGCAATATTCTCATTGATACTCCATCAAATATATATTAAGAGCTTTTATTGTTTGACCGAACGAAACTGACGAAAATATAGCCATTACTTCGATATATATAGATCAACTGAAAATCGCTCAAGCCGCCTTCCTAACCCATAGCATAGTCGATGCCCCCATTGATTACACGCAAATATAGCGCATCTCAGCACGCACAAAGCAAATGTGCTTGAGTTAATATCGAATGGGCTTTAATGAACCAAAAACCAGGCTGCCACAGCATAAATGTTTTGCTAAGCCAGACAAGCACAGCAAACAACCACGAACAAAGAAGAGCCCGTAAGCCCCACCTGCCCCACCTGCCCCACCTGCCCCACCCTAAAGAGCACAGACTCAGCCCATTCTGTGTGTCAGATAAATTCGGAACAATTGAAAATCATTTGACAGCTCGCAACAAACTCTACGACAACACAAACAAATTCAGGCCTCATAAATTGTGCAAAAATATTAATTGAAAAATATGTGTGTATGTGTGTGTGCGTGTTTGAGAATTTGACTTACCAACGAGGGGAAATTTTTCTTTGGAATATTCTTATTTTTTCCTTAGCTGCAGCTGACAGTTGCAGTTGCACGCTCAAGTTGCTTCTGGAGTGAGTTTTAGCACTCGTTTGAATTTTGTTGTTGTTTCTTGTCCTTTGTCTTCAGTTTTTCGTTTAGTTTAGTGTTTTTCTTTTAGCTTTTGTCTCCGCTTGGCAGCTTCTTGATTTTAGTTGAACGAATTTCTTGCATCTCTCTTCATTTTTTTTTTGTTTTTGTTTTTGGTTTTTTGACTTTTGTTCTTCGAATAACTAGTTTTTCACATGATTTAACATGCAAAGCGCAGTTTGAGTGGCAAGCTTTATGCATGGGCTAACTTTTAAATTTAACTAGCACATGCATTTTTTATAAGAAAATAGAAAGCAAGAGCGAGAGCGAGAGAGAATTCCTTCAGATTATGTCTGCAATTGAATTGCTCGATTTCACATAAATATAGATTTAACAATTTATTATGTTCGATAATTTTCGTATAATTTTTGATTTGCTGCTGTTTTATTGTATTTTACAGTAATTGAAATGTTTTCAAATTGCTCATACGCCATGTAGCACAAGTTGTTATTTCGCACGATTCATTGCTATAAATAGACAAATACAAAATATTAGCTACAATTTTTGTTTAACAACCACGCCTCGAGCACTGTTTTTATTGAGTCGGAAATATATGTATTAATAAATATATATATTTGTTTCTCACATTTGTTATAGTTTTTTCATGCCAATTTAGGCCGACTGTAATACATTCAATATTATTTGTTTAAGACAACGCCAATTGTTTTCGACGCATATAAATTAATGTGCAATAATCACTAAAAGCAATAAAATATCAATACAGCACAAAAATAAGATATCTAATATAATTTTTTAATAACAATTTGAAAATAAAATTTATACAGTAATTAATTACTTTTCTATGAATACTTTATGTATTTTAAGTATATTCACAATTTATATTTTTTAAGCTTTTAACAATATAAGTTTAAAAAATTGTTTTTATTTTTAGCACAGTTATAAATTTTTTTTTCCATTAAATTTGAATTATTCTTCTTCTTCAGTTTTAGTTTTCAACACGCGTACATTTTGTTTTGATTAATTTTACATTTTTATTTGAATTATTATTATATATCAGATCGCAAGTTTAAACACAATTAATTCCATAACAATATTTTTTAATATATATTTATTTCGTAGCATTTAAATAAATATTATCACACACTGCAACTTGATTTCTGAGCAATTCAAAATATTTATCAAGAAACTGATCAGCGCTGTTAATAGACTCTGCTGTTGCACAGCTCGCGTCCGTAACGTTTGAGTTGCCGCGACAGACTCAAATGCCTGCAGACAAGTCCTCGTCGGCATAGCGGCCACAGCAACACGAATGCAAAACGAAGTCCACGTCGCTTCGACACCTCACCTACTTATTCGTATAACAACAGTGAGAGCGTTACAACGCTGCTGCTGCTGCTGCCAATGAAGGAAGCAGCGCTGCTCTGAGAGCTTAACAGTGCTGTTAATGCTGCTTGAGCTTAACAGGGCGCTGCACTTATAAGCTATCAGCACTGTTTCAAGAGAACGTTACAGTGCTGAAGCAGCGCAGCACATACATAGGTAACAGCATCATGAACAGCGCTGCTCTGACAGCGTTACAGCGCTGCTCTGAGAACGTTACAGCGCTGCTCCGAGAACATTACAGTGCTGCTTGTAGATGGCGCACTGTTGTGGTAGGTTTTTCTTTACAGATTGTTTTTGCATTGAACTTGAACTAGTGAGCAAAGTTGTTATTGTTTTGCTTTTTGTTGTTGAGCATTTTGCCGGCTCTGCTGCTAGCATCGCTGCCGACGCAGGCGCTCTGCACGAGAAGTTGTTGGTAATATATTTGAATGAATACTAAAATGAAGCCGTGCTTAATGAAATAGATTATATTAAAATACAATATTTATTTACAGAGTATATATATTTTTGTTAATAAAATGAATAATTAAGTATGATAATT